ATTGGAACTAACAGGTGGAATAGGTGTAAAGAGGTTATCCCAAATTGCCATATGATGATGAAAATCAATTTTTGGATAGACACTTCGTATGTTACATTGAAGTACATTACATAGTGCAGCAATTTCATATAATTCAGAAAACGTATAATTCTTGCAAATAGCTTTAATAGCGATATCGGTAGGCCCCAAATATTGTGAATACATAGTTTGATAATCATTTTCATTAGTTATAAGTTCCATAATTGTTCGAACTAAAAATATTTTTAAAATAAATTTAGTATTATCAAAGAAAAAAAACTTTTACCTCGTAATTCACTAACTGTCACCAACGGATTGTTCATAAAAACAACAATAGAATGATATAAGCAGTTTCCATCGCCAAAAACATCAACAGGAACAAGATGATGTGTATCACCAGTAGCTTTTTGAAGATATTCCTTAGCTATCACATCTACTACATGCTTTGTTTCATCGAAAACTTGAATAGGATGAAATTGAAATGGGATCGTAGTTGATTCCATCTATAGAATATTTTTTATTTTTTAAATTTAAGTGTCATTCAAATAAACTCACTTGTTTAATTCGTTGTACAACAGAATTGATTTCGTCGTGGTACATAATACTTTCAGAACATTTTTGCAAACGCTGAAGTAAACGTGTAAATTTTAAACCACGAGTCATTTGATTACATTGTGAGCAACAATAACTGGCACACAACATAGTGCAAAAAATGCATTGCTTGTTCATATTTCAGTTTTAAATTATAATCTAAAACACACTATATTTCTCAAGAAAATCAACTGTTCAAAACATATCAATTGAAAAAACAATTTCTTAAGATTCAAATATGTATATTGTTTTTCAATAAATTTAGTACATTATCAAATCAACAGATGCAATAAAAAACAGTATCAAATCTTCTTTATATTTCTATTTGAGCAACTAATTTTTTCCATGTATACTCTTTGCTTTTAATGTAATGTGAAGGAAGAAATACATCTAAATAACATTCCATCTTGTGATGAAGATCATAAAAGAAGTTAACATGTACAAGTTCAAATTCTCGTATGCATGTTTCTTCATATGAGAAAGCTCTTTTCTTTCCAAATCTCGTGAAAAATAACATATCTATCAATGTTAAAAAAGAACATTAACAGCATAATGATCATTGGTATGTACTATATATATAAAAGTAAACAAATTCAAAATTTTGAAAAAGCGAACATTTCAAATTTTCAAAACAATAAAAATGTCAAAATCTTATGTAATGCAAATATTTACATAATAAATCACGGATTTATTTTTTAAAATAGAACTGATTATTGTCAGAGTATATATATATGATTTATATACGATGATCCAATAAAAATATGAATCGATTCAAGAACTTATGTACTAATTATATATCTTATCTATCTATTTGTTCATGGAATGTCATAATTTATCTCTTTATCTTGTTGATAATATGATTTTTTATTTCAAGGAGAAGAAGTTTTTTAATTTTTTAAATAATTTTCATTGCTTATTTTGCAAAAACTATATTTAAAAAAGCATATTTTTATATCGATAACGAAATAGAAATAATAAAATCAAATGCAAAATACAGATATGATATTTGATCATTCTCATTCGAAAGATTTTTTTTCATAAGTACTGGCCGATACAATTATATCTATGTTCTTTTCGTATATTTAAATTAAGATAAATGATCAATCCATCATAATGAGTTGTAAAAAATATATTAAAAAAGTTCGATTTGAATATGATCGAAATCTTAAGATATACACGATTACAATCGTGAAAAAGAAATATAATGAACTAACATTATTCAAGTTTCCGATTCTAATTTATTATTCACTAAAATATACTAAATACCTTATTTCTCAAAATGAAATTCAAGTAGCATGTAAAAAGACGATCAATGGATATCAATAAACATACGAGATAAGAAAAAAATTGCAACTTTTGACTTTTTACGTGTTAACTTCTTTTGAATGAAAGAAGATAAACAAAAGATCGTTATTCATCACGTTATGTCAGTTTGTAAAAAAACGCAAACTTTCTGATATTTCAATCTTTCAATTTCATTATGTTCACAGAATGATATCGTATTTGAGATCATATATAGAATATCATATTTAAGTTCAGATACTAAATAAATGAATTCATAAATATAAACTCAAAACTCATAAAATTTTCGATTTGCAATTTTATATTAAAAGAGAGGCAATCGAATGCATCATTCGAATAGATAAGATAAATTGACGTTCTCAAAAAAAAAACAATGAAAATAAAGAAAAAACTTAATGTATGTAAATTTGAGATGAAAAATATTAAGGTAATAAAGTAGTTCAACAGTTGACGATAGATACTCATACTTATGTTAGAATAATGAATAATTTTTATCAATAAATGGTAAAGATGAGAAAAAATAGTAGAAGAATAAACAATCATTCATCAAATCGGTAAACAAAGAGATTTAATTCTTCTTTTTTTTTAAATAAATTTCACATATAATAAATCATTATTCCCAGAAAATTTTTTTTCTGATTGAGAATGTTCATTTTCTAAATTTATGATATCAATCAATGATACAACTCTCATTGAATTTTATTTTGAAGTCAAAATTTAATAAAACGCAAGACGAACTCTTTTTTTCTGTTCGAAAATTCAACTAAGGTATCTCTATTTTTCACAAATGAAAAGATTTTTCGATAAAATATTTTCGTTTCATTAAATAGAATCATAATATCGATTATGATATATCTTTTATTTCTTTGAATGAAATAAATCTTACTCTATTCATTAAATTAAATTGAAATTTATACAGTTTAAACAAGAAGAACATGACTTACTTATATATTATTTAAATAGTACTTATTATTTTAAGAAATACAAAATTTATCGATGATATGATCAAATTAATATAAAAGATAATGTCTTTGCTTGATATCATAGCAGCTATAATCTTATAATGTGAAGTTATATTCAATTGTTGACGTTTTGAATCTGAACATTTTTTAAAAATTTTACTGATTCATGTCAGATCAGAATGATGAACTACAGTTCGAATATTGAAGAAATGAAAAAATACCCAGGTCCAATAAAACGGCGTCGTAAACGGCCTGAAACGGCTATAAAACGGCGATTAACGATGTAAAACGTCGATAAACGGCACCGTAATCCGTCATACCAGATTACGGAAGCAAAACCGGAAAAAAACGACCGCCGTTTTCTAGCGATAGACGGTGGTCGTAATACGGTATGACGGATTACGGCGAAATAAGGCCAAAATTACTGCAGTAATTCGCCGTTTTATAGTCGTTTCAGGCCGGATACGACGCCGTTTCCGACGGCCGGAATGATTCACCTGGGTAAGTCAGAATAGATATTACTCCCCATTCTACTTTTTATCTAATTTGAAAAAACAATTTATCACGAACAATGAACATTCGTGATGACTCTTTGTTTATTTTAAGTACGATTAGATGAGTTGGCTTTGTTCGGGCTTTATCTCTTTTACAATAGCGAAAATATAGAAATATATACATATATGCATTTCGAATTGTATTTTTCTGTAAACCCATCGATCGTACATCTTATCATGATGATTAATAAACAGTGTGTTGGAAGAACATAAATTATTTCGTCACGTTCTTTCATAAATAATGCAACGATACTCTGCTTTTTCAAAGTGCTATAAAACCACAAAATCATGAAATATTGACCGCTGTTATTATACACAAATTTGCATTCAGTTGCATGATGCTCTAAAAAATTTTGTACCGACAAAATTTTTCCAAAAAGAATTTCCTTTCAAACTATCCAGTATAGAAAAATACTCGGTTGATTAAGTTCTTATTTAGAAATTATAATTGAATTTGTTGATGTTTAAATATTTTTATTATGTGATACTTTCATTTGATGAAATTCATAACAGATTCTCTTCTTTTTATGACTCATTGCCAAATTGACCGATTTCTAAGAATTCCTAATCAATATATTGCTTTTTCGTATGTTTGTTTCTTATTGAACTGATTATCAATCAATGTCGACCAAATAGTTTTTTTTATTGATCTTTTTTATATGGATGTATCGGTATCGTTTTATCAAATGTTTGAGTTTGATTTTGTTACTTTTTTAAAAATGAAAATTGGAATAGCTTTTTTTCTGCATTTCAATTGGAAATATTGATTTGCTCAAAATTTCTGTTTAGAACATTTGTGTTTGATATGTTTGAGTTGTGCCTATCGACTTCTCAAATCCTTTTATAAGTATTATTTTTTTCAAATCTCGTTGAAGTATAATAATATTTCATACAGACAGAAAAAAACAACTCGATTTTTTTTGTATACAACAAAACTAATTATCTTTTAAACCATGTGATCGATCGATTAATGATGCCAAATTTTTAATCGAATATGTATTGATATTCTAAAATACTCATTCTCAACATGATCAAAAGTGCTGACAAATGAAACTAACTATGTATTTTTATTTTTATTCATCAAAATCCCTAAAAAGGGTCAGATTCCACAACGGATCGGTTATAAATACTGTCAGTTATGATTTTACAATTTGATCATCGAATGTGCAAGAATTTTGTCGATAACTTGCAAAATACTTAATGGCAAAACAGCGATGGTAAATCATAAGGCGCATTTTGTGTTATTAATCGAATAGAAGAGATAAAAAAAAATCAAATGGCAAGACGTATCGTAGACAATTGTATCGTAGAAGTAAGGCTGTTGATGTTGATAGTAGCGAGTGAATACGTCGAATGAGTGAATACATCAACTGCTTCGCTATTTATAGTCCAACATGACGAAAATTGATATCTGGTTATCTTCTGTTTAGTCTATATTTCCTTTCATCAAACCTTTTGATCTATGATAAAAATGATATCCAAATCGTCAGTCATTAAGTGTTTACTTTTCGGCATTTTTTTCTCTTTCATGATCTTTATTTAGTTATTTGATGTTTTCATCACTTGAGATAGTAATATTTTTCTTTTCTAATGACTCACTCAGATAAGATATAGTCAAATATAGGGATAGTAGACGTTAGCCAATAGAGAAATTCCACTACTCAAAATAATAAAG